TCCACAGTTGCAAATGCGTCTCGCGATAAATGCCATGTCGCTAGATGCCTGGGATTCCTGATTTGATCGATCATCACCTGGTGGTGAATCCTATAGATGTATCGATGCTGTGTGTGAAAGTAACGAGAAGAGTTTATTACGTTATCGGCTTCGGTTATCAGCGATTCTTCTCTTTTGATCTTGATAGTTGGCTATCCTGAATATTCAACATTTTTGTGCATAATATAATAAATATCTCGGATATCAAGTCCTTTCTAGATTCTACATTTCTCAATTTTTATATTTTTTTATATTTCAAATTTCTCGAATGCCGAATAACTTAGAGTTGTACTCGTTAGTGAGTACCGATTCTTTCCAGATTTCCAGTTCAGATTCCCCTCGATCCTGACTGCCCGAGATCTCCCGAGAGTACTTCACGCTCTTTGCCTTCTATTTCTCTTAACTCAAACTTTAAACGCTTGTCAACTCGCTATTCCTGCCTCGCTGGTCCAGCTAATCATCCGCTTTAGCGTATACTACCCGCTTTATCTCCCGTTGGAGTCTGCTTTATAATAACAGCTAAGTGCTACCAGACGTCCACAAATGAGTAAACGGTCCGCCACCCGCTGATAAGGGTATTCCGCCGCAAGAAAGAAAGAAAGAATCGCGCGCCGGTATCCGCTTAATGCGCTTCGCTGCAAATGCGCGAAGATACATCGTGAATAATATCACCGGCTCGCGATATAAATGCAAACGCGTACGCGCGGTCCAGGTTTGACCAAGGGATTACTCCGCCTGTTACCCGCCTCGGCGTGCTGCTGGCTGGTTCGTGCGAAGCGATAAATAGTGTCAACTTGTGGCAGGATGACGCCGGACTCAAGAACCAAAGAATCTGAGAATCGAGAATCTGAGAGCTAATTATAAAAATTAAGGATTAAAATACGTAGGAGTTAAATTTGAAAGAACTTAAAAATTCAAGGAAATTTTAGAATGTAAAATCCAAAAATTGTAGATTAGGATAAGGGAAAGTTTCTTCTTCTTCTTTAAACTGGGATGTTTTCTCAGTGTCTCCTCTTTCTACTAGTTAGTTTGATCTCTGATTATATCTCTGAAGGAAAGTATCAGTATTTCATATTCTAATACAATTATCAGCAAATTTTTTTTGCTTAAAAAGTCTAAAAATTCTTTTTTATTGTCGCATTATGAAACTTACTAGTTCAATGAACCTCAAATCATAGAGGCTCTCGAGACCAATAAGTCTAGGATCAGAAGTTACGATCTGTGGAAGCTAAGATCTATACGATATACCGTAGTCCTTGTAGAGAGATCTATAAGACAAAAGGGAAAGAAATAAAGATGGTGCGGCCTCGGGCCTTTCGTGAAATGACTCGACACCGGCAGGAAGGGCGAGACGGACGGACGGACGGACGGACGGACGGGCGGACGGGCGGGCGGGAGGGGGTAAGAAGAAGAAGAAGCGAGCGGTGGTCGTGGAGAGGAACGGGCGGACCCGCGCTTTGGAATGCTTTGAAAGACCGCGAGCAGCTCTCTTGGCTAGAGCTGCTCGTTGGCTGTGGAGCGAAGGGAGAAAAAGCAAAAGAGGAAGAGAGGCTGTCGGGGACGGTCTTGCTTCAATTAATTACCACATTGTCGTGCGGCCAACCGGCGCTGGATGTTCCACCGTGGTAATCTATGGAAGACCCGCTGCTCCTTGATTTAATCTCCTGCGCGCTCTCGCGAGCGGTAAATTTCGCGCGGCGCAATCGAACTGGCATCGACGGTGTTAAATTAAAAATTCTTAGAGCTTTCAATAAACTCCCCCCCTTTTTTTTTTTTTTATCAAAATGTAATCTTTCTATATATATTCCTTGTTTCTATTTGTATAATCTTGACAACTACTTTCTTTATTCTTTGCTTTATATTTTTCACAATCAAATGAAATTTTTAATAAGATGATAAAATAGACTCTAGAAGGTGTACTAATAAAAATCTTCTACTTATTACATTCTTAATGAAAATTTTATAATGGCTTGCCGATTAGAAACCGTGAATCAATATTAACTACTAAATTCTTAATCAACCCGCATATTGCATTGTCAATCCAAACGAGGCGATGCCATGAGTTATTTAAACAATTACACGAATGCGAGATAGTGCTTCGAGTTAGTAGTTCTGACACTAACTCTAATAACGTGCAAAGTAAACCGCACAAGTCGCTGCAAGACGTGTATATAGATGTGTATGTAGACGTGTTTCGCCGAGTTTAAAGCTCCTTCGCCTTTCATCGCGAACCGCCTACCAATCAGCAGGCGCAAAGGCTATGATGACAAGCGAATATACCTTCATTCGACGACGCCTACCTCCTCCGGGTCATCGCTCGTCATCGCTTTGTGCATCATGGCGGTGATGTACTGCGGCATGAAACGGCCGAGCCCGAGTTTATTGGCGTAGATAACGATAGCATCTCTCGCGGGCGTAGTCGTTCTTCTTTTTCCTCCTCCTCTTCATCGTCTCCTCCGCCCTCGTCCCGCGCACTCTTCCGCGGACCGGCGCATACATCAGTGTCAGCTTATTTCCGTGCACTGCTGATGCATGCACGTAATTGGTTAGGCGGGGTAGCAAACGGAACGCTCGGTTCATCGTTCTTCACTGACGAGTAACCGGGAAAAACACGATTCGCAGTGATTTGTTGGACATCGACGCGCATTTTTGCTCTCGTAAAATCGAGGAATTAACTAAAAAGCGTCAATCCACATAAAACGTCGCTGTTGGACATTAACGTAAATTCATTCTTTATTAATCCAATGACTAATCAAAAATAAATTAACACGTGAGATTTTATAATCTACTTAACTATCCAAATTTAACTTGTTTTTCCCTTTCTTCATGTCTGTCCGATTTCAAAGGAATCAAAATATCACTTGTCCTTTAATCTGTAATAATTTTAAAATTTTCATTAAACTTTTACCAAAAAAAACTCTCAGAGACCGAGTATGTTGTACGTGCTATCGTCCTCATAGATAATGTTCGTTGCGGAAGAGTGCGTAACGACTGAAAGGGTTGAATTAGTGGGCCACTGCGATGTCGAATTCTGGCGCGCGGACAACGTGGAAGTCAATGGGCCGTTCGTCGCCGTTCCCGTCGTCGACATTCTCTTTATAGCGTGCGAGAAAACGCATAGCCCCGATGTCACGCGGAAAATCCGGGCTATCGCCGTTAAAACGCGCCGGTATTTACGCGCTCGTATTTCTCTTGTCGTCCCATCATCACGATCAGTGCGCCATGCGAGCAATGCGATCGTCGGCCACGCTTCTCCTCGGCTCGCACGATTTGCCGCTCGAGAATTTCGTCGATCGACGACAACGGAATTTTGACATTTTAAAGGATACAAAATAATTGAGAAACTGTATGATGACAATTTAGAATATCGATCGATGTAAATGTTACGTAGAAAATACATTGTTATTATATTACTGTCGAAATTTGATATTTTCCCAGATGTAGATATTGAACAGTTCGGAAGTGTTAACAATTGAAATTAAAAGTTATAATTACAATTATTGAAAAAAATGTTTGAAGCGATTAAAAACTTTAAATTAGATTATGCAATTGTTGTGGTTTGTCATATACACGGATTTCAATGTCCGAAGAATAGAAAAAAGATTAGTTTTAAATCAAGACTATATATTCTCATATAAGCAAGAATATTATAATTTTTGTATAGAAGATTTTTAGTAGTTGAGCATAAGTAACACTTGCATCAAATTCGATCAAACCAAGATTAAAATTTTTAAGAAGATTTTAATATTCTTATTTATATATCAGAATATATGTCTCGATTTATGATTAGTGTTTTTTTTGTGCGAAATTTGTAGGGATTTCTCGGCGCTTTTCTCCGCGTCTCTTCTTTAACTATTATTTATATGGTTGATTCGTCATTACGATCAATACGCTGATCATTCTCCATGCAAACTGTATATCAACCAACCAATTAAACTGGCAATCATTAACGATTGGTCAAGTGCTAAATGAATAACCGGCATCGTTAACCTGTTAACCGATAAACAGTACGATCGCGTGCAACATTCGCATAAAAGCAATTATGATACTTTCCAACGAAAATCTCTCATAAGAGTTCATTCACTTCTAACCACTTACTTTTATTTCATTCTTGACATTAATTGTTGCATTTCACCAAAGAGATAGCTAACAACGCTATTTTATCGTGTGAAATCGAAGTTATTAATAGAAATCTAATTATTTAGAGAATCTAAATTCATAAACATCTTGAAATCTATAAAAGCAAATCTGTAAAAATTTAAAAATGAGATCATCAAATATCATCATGCATACATGTAACATACTTAATGGTATTCATAATTCGAAAACAAAAAGTCATTGCAATCTAAAGCATTTTGAATCGTTTTTGTTTCAAAAGTTGTTATAGCTAAAATTGGTAAAATTATATTGTCCAAAGTTATCAAAATTTTTTTACTAAATAGATAAGATAATAATACTTTTACATAAGATAATGATCCCAATTATTTAAAATGACTTTGATTTGTTTGGATAAATTTATTAATCCAACAAACAAATTTTAAAGAAAAATTATTACATTTTTAATATTTTTACATACCTTTTTATATTTATTTATTTAATATTTAATTACTTTGTAAATGTTTTACATAATTTTAAAAAATTGTTCAAGAAAATAATATTTTCCTTTCTTTTCTTAAATATTAACAATGTTTGTGAAAATAATTTTATACTACAATATATATAATCATAAATAAATTAATATAAAAGAATTGAAAGCAATAATATTTTATTAATATATTTTAACAATATGTATATATCCACGGAATCAAGACACGAGCTATAAATTTGGAGATCATTATTCTATCTAAGATCAAGAAATTTAAATACACTTATGAGTGTTGTAATTTTTTTCAAAAACTCTACATAGCAGAATTCTAAGAATCGATGATGTTGCATGCGAGATTAATTGCTTCCTATTGCAGCTGAATGTTCACCAAAGGTCTCTGGAAGCAGCCGGTATCGAGCTTTGTGGCGCCGGCGGAAGTGTCCCTCAAGGTCAACCGAGTAGTGCGGGTTCCGTAGGGTCCGCTCCGAGTCCTGCGTCCCCAAGGCCAACGCCGCAACCGCGACCGCCCCTCGCAACCACCACCTCGCAACCCTCGCGAACATTGGATGACGACAGATCGACAGACGGTGAGACGATTAATTGTCTCGGTTTACAGCAACATGTGTACCGTCGCGTGAACACCTCCGTATTAATACACCGGCTCGCAGGCGTGGGCGCTGGCACCACCACCGAGGACTCGGACGATGGCGAGAGCAGGGCGCAGTACGTTAACGCGAATTGCGTCGTGTTCACGCATTATCGAGGCGACGCGGCATCGGAAGTGGAGGAGCACTTTCAGAGGGCTCTCGCACACGATAAATTAAAGGGTGAGTCTTGCTATAGATGAACTTGTCCCTCTCTTTAATTTATTTAGAAAAAGATCGCTCGTTCAAAACAATACGTGTTCAACGATTGTAAACACGTTTTGAATCTTAAATAGCTATAGATTAAAATTGACGCTCACGAATTTTCGAGGTCCATCCTTTTTTCGATCTCGATGAAGTCAGGCGATGCCAAAAAACGTTTCTGAGGAGGGTAATAAAGTACGCCATTAGGCAGCGACAAGGCTAACAAGCCTTGTGACAATTGTAGCTCGTAATCGTACTCTCGTGCCGACTTAAAACGCGAGCAGGGCAGAGCGGGCCAGTGGGGAGAAAAGAGCAAAGGGAACGTCCCGGCTGCGAGAGAGAATCAGTGACGGGGATCGAGGGGGGAAGATTGTCAGCACGCGAGCGGGTTTGGCAAGCGATCGGCAAGCTCGTCTATATCGGTGTCGTTTAAGGCCACATTTATCCCGACCACGGTACGGCTGAGGATCAGTTCAGTAGCCTGCTTAGAATTCAAGACAACACGACCTAATTGTTACGCCTCGCCATTTCCCTCTCGCCCCTCTTTCCTCACTCTCTTCGATCTCTCTCTCTTCTGCTTGTACGTTAACTTCCTGCGACTCGTACGAATGGTAAATTAAGAGCTTCTGCTCTGTGGGAAAAGAGGGATGGCGAAGCGCTGAGGAAAGACATTGTGAGGGAAAGGAAGGCGGAAGGGGCGGGGGGGGGAAGGAGGGGTTGGAGTATGGAGAGGCGACATCGCGAGAGACAGTTTTAGCCGCGGAATGCCGGGTAACGTACGTACAAGGGCCGAATGACTTTGAGCCTAAACGCGCATACTGCGAAAACAAAGAGGGGAAGAGGAGGAGGAAACTGTTAAGCGTAGAAAGTGAGATAGAGAGAAAAGATTACTCTTGGAATTAAAAAGGAATTCGAGTAATTGGCTTGAAAAAATACGTCGGGTTCCGGCTTGAAACAAACAGAAATTGTTTTGTTGCATAGAAGAATGGAGGGTTATTTTTGGCATTATTTGTGCGAATGAGAGGGTTGGTACATAATTCGTGATAATTCGTAATAAAACCTCTTGTAATTAAATAAAGATGATACAAAGATTTAATATGTATATTCTAGTAAAGTGCTTTTACAATTATAAATATTTTAATTTAAAATGGTAGAGTTTGAAATCTTTTGAAACATCATTTTTGATGATTACCCTTATAGAGAAAATTAAATTTTATATATACAATAGTATATACAAAACGCTTATTGTGATATAGTTAACGGATATGGCAATATGGAGGATCATTAATAATTATGTCTTAATCATACATCATATTATTCTGAAAATATATTTCACTACTGATTTCGCTATTAAGAATGGTAGACACGGTTGCAAAAGCGGTATTGAGATTCGCGAGTCGTCGATTAAAATGTCGGCGTTTTCTGAAGTTCTAAGGAACACGCGGGTACTTATTGGCGAACCAGGCTTCGACAACCCTTTCTACCCGTTCCTTTCTCTCTCTCTCTCTCTCCCCTCCTCCCCCCCGTTCTCCTCCACGTAGAGCGATACCCTTTCTCTCTTCGGTTGCGGCATCGGCAAAGAATAAAGCCGGCTGCAGACGGTCGACACTCTGTTTCTTTAATTGCGTTAATAAATAAAGGACAGTCGGCGAACCGAGACCGTGGCAGATACTAGACGGGAAAGGAGAGAGGGGCCGCAAACGGTCCCACGAGATTCCCATTTATATCCCGTTTCTCGAGGATTAAAGGATCATACTTGCGGTGACAATACATGATTTTTTAATTAGCTAACTTTAATTAGCTAAATTATGTATTATAAAAGTACATCTGTTAAACTGTAATAACGAATAATTAGAAAAAGATATGTAAAGCTCTGTATATATATATATATTTCAATAAAGCTCTATATATATATATATATATATATATATATAT